AGATCTGGAAATTTCCCATTTTTGAGTCTGGATGATTTCCCCAGAGGGTTTTTTTTTAATTTTTGATGCCAAAAAGAAGAAAAAACATAAAAGTGGTTTAACAAAAAAAGGGAAAAAAAATGCAACAAAGAAAAAAAAAGTGTTAATATATGGAAGAAAAGTCTTTGGCTTGATTGATTTTAGGGCTCACCAGATCTGGAAATTTCCCATTTTTGAGTCTGGATGATTTCCCCAGAGGGTTTTTTTTTAATTTTTGATTCCAAAAAGAAGAAAAAACATAAAAGTGGTTTAACAAAAAAATGGAAAAAAAATGCAACAAAGAAAAAAAAAGTGTTAATATATCATAACAATATACAATTTCAATTCTATATATACTTATCTAATCCAAATATTATTCAAGTACATACATATTTCTAATAGATTTATATGACTATCAATTTCCCCAAACAGAGTTGGTGCGCAATTTGGCGGTCCTTTTGGACTTACGGTTCTTCCCTTAAGGAACAGGTGGCAACTGTGCCCAGGAGAGCCTTTGCACAAATCCATCTTGTATGCAAATACACATGTTCCTGGATAGGGAAGCTTTGTTCATGGTTACTCATGCCTTAATCTTCTCCCGGGTAGACTATTGCAATACATTAGTCTTGAAGAGCATTGAGAAGCTGGAACTGTTCTAGAATGCAGAGGTGCACCTATTGTAAGTTACAGTTTTTACTTTTGCATTATGTTGGTGGCATGTTTTTATGTATTGGTAGCTGCCCAGAGTCACTATGTTGAGGTAAACAGCCATATAAATAATTTAAATAAATACATATATATATGTATGATTGGGATGTAATTATCAAGATGTTTTATCCCTTATTATTATGTTAGATTTTTACTGTATTTTGTAAGTCATTAAGATTTGGATAGATTGAAGTGGCACAGAAGTCACAACTATTAAATTGTTTAACATGATAACATCATTAATATATTATTGATTATTAATATTTAATTAAACTTAATTATTAATATTAATTCATTTTAAATTCACTCAGAGTCATATGATTGAGCCAACACAGAAACAGTATAAATATCAAACAACTAATTAATTATTTTATTACCAAGGAAAGCAATTGAAATATTTGCTAGTGAAAAACAATGCTACAGTAAACCTGAAGACCTTCAGTGATGGCATCTACTTTAATTGTTAGCTGGAACAAGCCTTGATGATAAATGATAGGAATAAAGCTGTCTTTTCTAGTAGCTAACTTTCTCAAACTTGTGAGCAAATTAGGAAGAACTTATTATCTTGAAGAAACACAGGGGGATTGTCCAGCTGCTTATGAAGGAACAAGAGAAACACAAGTATTGGCAGAAGTTGTCTTGTAGGGTGGTCAATAGCTTCAGGAAAAAGAATAAGTTGTTTTGAGGATGGGCAATGGGTCTGTTGCTTTGTTAGGATAAGGAGAGGATAGGAAAGCACCCACATGTGCTCCTGACAGCGGTTCCTCATGTGGAGACCACAGGACAGCAGTTTTCCATGGGTTTGAGCATTGGGAGACAACAGGATTAGCCATCTTGCTCACAACCACAGCAGAGATTTTAAAGAACACTAAGTTCGCAAACCTCACTTTCTAATCACTTTTGGAGCTTGCTCATTAACTTCTTCTAAGCTATTAGAGTCCTTCTGACCAACAAGTCTGAAAACACCAAGTAAGTCTGTCTTCAATCCTGAATAAAAGAAAATTTTAATCATAAGCTTAAGAATTTAAAGAAGCTGAAATAAACAGCAAAAAGTTAAATTAGATTTTGATCTTAGAAAGTTATAGATGGATTAAGGGTCCAGATAAAATTGGAATATTCAAAGTTTTACAATAAGATTTTGGAACTAAACTAATTATAAAGAACAAACAACTTCTCGTGGGAAATAAGATTCTGTTTTGGTTTTTACAAGATGTAACAAAGATAAACAATTTCATGATTTCGAAAACTGAACATTAGAGGGGACTAAAATTTTTAGGTAGAGGAAAGATTTACAAGCCTGTAAAATGATGCAAAATATTATAACAATAAAATACTGAAGGAGACTTTTGAAGAATGGAATCAGAAAATAGCCACAATATCACCTATGTCAGTAATGATGTCTGCTTCTATGGATAGACTATGTCCAAAAGATGTTATTGAAGA